TGTACAGAACAGTCCTCCCAAACAAAATATTATCTAGCTCAGAATATCAACGGTGCTGAAGTTGAGAAACTCTGATTTACAACATCACCATATTTCATTCCATCTCAACTCATATAGCATCTGCCCCTCCCAGCTGGGGCATCTCACTGATTATTAGGAATTTCAGGACAGGAGTTTTGCTCCTGAGTGAAAGGAAGTAATTAAATGTTCTGACTTAATGGCAGGACATTTAATTTAAAATTTAATCCAACCACACTGAATCCCATTACACACAGAGCTTTGATAGTGGTGGCAAGTAACAGCAAATATGAGACATATACCTGCCCTCAAAGAGCTTGATCGTCTTGGGAGGAAAAGAAATACACACTTGGAGAAGTAATAAGAATAAAAAGCAAGATATGAGTATCAGTGCTTAAGACATAAATAAGAATGATTGGGAGTAACATACTTGAGTTGGCCCTTAAACAGATTTAAAATGAAAGCATTTTAGAAATGAAAGCAATTAACATAATATCTAATGTAACTCCATTTAACAGGTGAGAAGAAAAACACAGAGAAACTAACCTGTCCAAATTATGCTGGCAAATTACTGGGAAGAGAACTCTGGTCTCCTGATTCCTGACCCTTGCTGTTGCGTTTACAACCATTGCCTTTGTGACTGCTAAAAAAGAAGAGAGAGAGATGAGCAGAGAAGGCCCTGTATGGACAATGGTAGAAGTGTACATCATCACCATAGTTATAATAATAATCATTGCTGACATATGGATGCTTAGTGAGTAGACTGGTGAAGGGCTCACATTATGAAGTATCAGAAAGTAAGACTGGAAAGGAATGAGCAGCTTGGGATGAAGAGATAAGATTAAACTAAACAGAATATTAACAGTCTCAGTCTAGGTATTTTAGAAGTTAAATAAGAAATAAAGGTAAGTGCTATAGGAATTTCAAAAAGGGTCAAATTCCAATGGCTGAGGGTAATCAGGCATGGCTTGGTGGGAGGGGTAAACTGGAGATGAGCTTTCAAGAGGCATAGGATTTGAAAGGAGATAAGAGGGGAATCTAGATAAGGAAGGGATCCAAAGTTAAATAAACCAAGCGGCTTTGAGGACAGTGAAGAAACAAGACTGACTACAATGGGAAGCTTGAGTAGAGGGGACCTGGGAAATGAGGCTGAAAAGGCAGGCTGGGTCCAGATCATGCAGGGCCCCAAGAAGAATGAATTTACTCTGGCAAAGAGAGACCACTGCAGGTGCTTTAGCAGAATAACTTGATTAATGTTTTAGGACGACTCCTCTGGCAATGATGTATAGGATGAACAGAGCCAAGAGAGATAAAAGGGAAGGCAGAGAGCTATTCTTCTCGTAAGAACAGAATAAAGAATATTATAAAGACTAAAGAATACTATACAATATTTATAATGCAGTGAGTTATTATTTCATAGACACTATGCTAACGTACTTTTTCTCATTTAATTCTCACAGAAAACATACAAAGGAAGTCGAATTATCACCTCCATTTTTAAAATGAGAAAATAGAATCAAAGAGGGGCTACATAACTTGCCCAGGTCACATATCTAGGCATTGGAGGAGTCAGAATTTGAGCCCAGATAATATGACCCAGAGCCTACAGTCTTAGCTACTATGCCGTATCCTTCAATATTATTAAATGTGTCTGAAAGAATCCAAGAACAAAATAATAGGGCTGAACTAATGATTAGTGGTAAAAAAGGAACTGGAAGGAAGAGAGATGAGACTTTACAAGGGAACAAATGACAGAACTTAATGAGATATATGGAGATGAGAAAGAGTAAAAAATGATCATCTCTTGGGCTTCCCTGATGGCACAGTGGTTGAGAGTCTG